CCTCCTTAGAGGACCGAGGGAATGCGCACCACTGACGAGCCTCAATAGGGCGAAACGCGTCTGGTGCTTTTCCGGACTAGGTTGTGCTATGTAGCTTGCGAACTACTGGGATGAAAACCTCAACAAAATTACAACTAAAATCCTGCTACTTACGAGTAAACCAAGCCAGTTAAAGTGTTTTTCAAAGCGTTCGCCAGTCTTCTAGTAGATGTGAATGAGGGTGAATCAACTGTCCATTCTTCGCCGCCCCTGACTTACTCATACAGACCTTTATTGGACACATGTGTCAAATAAGTTGAAAGCGTACTCTAGTATTCACGATGCTGCTAGTCTTCTCCTCACAATTTATCGCCATCAACCGAGAAGATTGGTAAATTCCATAAAAGTCCCGTCAAAATTACCTTTCATGCTTCAGGCGTCCATCCACTATTCACACACCTAAAGCCAGAAGCAAGAAGGATCTACCACTCCTTCGAATAACGTCCTGCGGCTTGTATTTTCAAATAAGTTTGCCCAAACTATGATGTTGAGAGTATCCCCGAATCGATGGAAATGGTATTGTAATATAGAAGCATGTTCCTGACTTCCTGTAGAGGAATGGCTTCCGACAGACTCTTCCCTTTCTATGTTCACAAGATTCTAGTTAAACGTCTCCATGTAATAGAGTTATTTCATGGAAATTATGATATTATTCGGTTCTGACTCTGATTCCTAATTTTTCAACCGTAAATACTTTCGTTATTTGTTTAATTTCGGACATTGTATCATTGAATTGTGCTCCACAATTAGTCGTTATCTTGGTCACGAATTGTCTATAATGCAAAAACAATCACCTTTCAATGCTCATTCCAAGACCTTCGGCTAATGAACAAATGCACTCGCGTGTGTTAGGTGTCAGATTAATCACCACATTTCATGCATTGGACTGTCGATTGAGTATTTTCGACGCCTGTGTGTAATCCAACATGATTTCGTACAAATGTTGTGTAAGAATTGCCGAAACGAGATACAGTCGAAACAGTAGAGCAGAATAACAACCCGCCGTGTAGGATGTATCACACTGTTGTGAGCAACAAGCTAGCTCGCAGTGCTGACATGTTCCAAATAAGCCATCCCGCTCGTCCCACAAAAACAGCCGTACGGTCCTGCAGCTGCGTTCAGCTTAGTTTCACCTGACACAAAGCTTCGATTTCTGTTGTGTCCTTAAGGGCACGAAAAGCTTGAGCACTGAAGGCCAGTGCTAAGGAGAACAGTACTGTTGCAAATAAGCTGGAACACAAGCCAAAGAAAACCCTCAGGTAATGAGATAATGATTCGGAAGAACGGATGTAATTTACAGTGACAGTTAAACATGCCGTTGAGTGGAGCATTTTGAAGGTTAGTTCAATAGGCCTGCTGCGAAACTGCCGTTTGTAAAATCACCACAAACGAGGTTGGAACGTGATGCCATACAAACACAAGAAAATCGACGTGAATTTGTTGTCCGAATAAAACCAAGCTCCTGGGCTCGATGACGGTCCTCCATATTTGTAGAGATGATGAAGCTGCTGATAGGACTAGATGCCCTAAGCAACATAAGCAGGACACTGAGGAGACGCATTCAAACTAATAACCGTCAGCTGTCGTGCCCAACTTCAAAAGGGGTTTACGGAATTGGCGCAAATATAATTGAGGAATTAAATTTATTTCCAGTAACTGCAAACTTGTTTCAACAACACAGTGGTCATAATGAGAGCTTCATATTATTCACACGTATCCAACCAAATGCATTTACCGTCTTTTGGACCCCAACCCAGAAGTCGATAGCCTCCAACCGAGGCGAAATCCGAAGAGCAGACCCATAATTTTCTTAACCAGATCATTGATTGGTCACCCTTCTCTTCTTCAACTTAAACCCAGATCGCGGAATAACACACGTCGCGGGTGTCGGTATACGAGTATGTGTAACATGCGACCAATCCATTAGAGTCAGGTGAACGAAATAATGGTGCCGAGCAGTTCGATTCATTTTCCTGCGCCATACACTAGACTTCAAACATGCATACAATTCACGAGGTGTTTCCACAAGCCAGGAGATAAAATGTGAAGGCACCAGCTGTCAAACAGAACTAACCCATTTACATCATCTGTTGATCTGATGGTTCAGGTCCCACTATCGCAAAGTTAGGTTGAACAGACGGTTGCATTGTAAACCCTACCATTATGGTCAAATGGTGTTGCGCCTGCACCATAAGTGACGAAGAGTGGTAAAACCAACTACAGTCCGTCCTACGGCCGGTGAGGTAATCTATTCCTGATGTGCTGATACAGCTACACGGGTAGTTGGATTTCTGAGGGACTTCTAGCTGATCTACACCAAGGGTTATTGCAAGCGGTGGTCAATATCAATCTCAGAAGAAAAGTTTGAATTTCGAGGGTGCAAAGCACAGCCCAAAAGAGTTGACAGCCATCGGTTATCTATCCGGTGCCGCATTGCACGTTTGTGAGCTGTCACAAAGTAGGGCAACATCGTCGGATTACGCTAAGTCTAGAAGTAAATCACATGGAAGCAAGTACATACATAAGGCGGACACAGTAAACACAGTATCCATAACTCAATCAACAGCGAAGTTAAAATGGTAAAAGCGGGCGTACTTGTCGCACTACTGGAGAGATTGTACAGCAGCAATAGTCTGTCACGTGATCTCATTCTGTAGTAGGCTGGGAAAGTTTCCTGCTCAGCACCACTAATAAATTGTGTAAATAAACCAAAAGAGCAGGTATCCGAATTTGAAAAGGACTGAAGGAAGATCATCTGGTCCTGTGGCCTTATCCAATTTCAGCAGCCCGATCCCACATTCTTCTGCGAGAGAACGTGCAGCCAAAGACACAGTGCACATAACAGAGATCATTTAACGGTCTAGCAGTGCATCTCGTGGCTTCACCCAATTTAACTGTTTTTCAAAGGGTTCAGCCCAACGTTGCACACGTTTTGACAAATTGTGGACGGGCCGCCTCATAACCAAATAAACCAATCTCTCTGAAATCACGACTTCTCGATCCGTTTCAGGTATATTCCAAAAATTCGAACACTTGCGCATAGTTTCGCTAACCATAGGTTTCCAGCTGTCATTACCTCTTATCAGGTAGAATAACATCCGAAGATTGCCAAAAGCAGTGGCTCTTTCCATCTCCGATGAACGACGAGACAACCAGGCATCTCCGTCTCACTTCAGATTCGTGCGCAATAACTTCGTGAGTCTCATTGTGCTCCTTCCTAGCCGAAATGTATCGGCGAGCACCGAATTCAAGAGACTGCGTAGAGGCTCAACGTCCGGTTGGCAATCCCAGTTACCATATGAAGATAAACCCACTGTCAATGAAGTTTACGGAGCATGAGAAAAGTGGCCTTTAGCTGTGTCAGTTGAGGGTGTACTTAGCACGATTACCAGCGTACTTCGATAAGCTTTCAGAACATCTAGGTTCGATAGATGGTAAGTGTCCATATGCTCACAGCATCGTCGTAAGCATGGTTAGTCTCCACGCTAGTGATCAAAACTGAACAACAGCTTTGAACGCAACCTCTCCAAAGGTAACTGACTGCGACGTGACCGATCTGCGTCCATAGCTGGTGGGCGCCTTGTAGCACTCCGGCTGATGATGCGGCAGAAGTGCTCGCGAGATATTAACGGGCATCTCCAAATGGGTGTAACAACCGTTCACCGTTATCATCAAGATATCCTGCGCCGTATTGGCCGCTCAGATGCAGCTCATTATTGGGCAACTTTCCAAATTGAGCATTCAGATCACCAGCCAGCATTACAATACCCGTACCTATTATGTGACGAAGCTCATTTAGTTGACGATAGAAGTCATCTTTCACCGAAGCAGTGTTCCAGTTTGTGGGAAAGCAAGCTGTAATGGCGAACAAGCATGGATTGGCCCAGCGCGACATCAAGTTTTGAATAACCCAGCCAGTCGGACGGTGCACATCTGACTATGGAATGGAACGTAAGTTGATAATCGGTTTAGAGCAATACCGACAACAAGTTGACCGGCAGTTAAAGTTGGTTTATCTCTGGATAGACGAGGTAAGAAAGTGCCAACAGTGTCGCAACAGAAGGATCGTAGAGTAAATACAGAGCTCGGGTCTTGTAGGTCGGTCGCCGGTAAGACGCAGAGGTTGATCGATAAGGTCTCAAATGTTCGGGAAAGTGCTGCTCATTGACCGAGCTGCAACAAAGTGCGCACGCTCAGGCATACCAGTCTTACTGAGGATAGAGGGCTCCAAATAGAAGTTCATGAACTAAGGCTGTCTGCTTGATTAAACATGGACTTGTCGACAGGATATGGAGAGATGCGCTGCGATCGCATCTGAATCCAAAAGAGAGGACAAACGTTTATAGAAGTACGTTTTGGTAGCGTCGAGTAGTGTTCAAAATAGGAAAGACAACAGTGAAGTTAGAAAGAGATGCAGTCTTCACGTCAATTCACTCAGTGCTATGCCGGAAATATGCCGTCATTGATTATCTCTGCAACGGTCATGAAGTCGAAACTGTTCGGAGAGGAAGTTGATTGTTCCGCGTCTACCAAACTCTACGATCTACATTGCGAGACTGTCTGAGTTTATGGTTAGTACTCCCATCGAAGAGGGCTGGGTGGGCTTCAAGAAGTCAGCTTCAGTAGAGCTGATCTACAAGAGCACGATAAAAAGTACACCTAGACTACAGCATCGTTTGAGAATAGTAATATAGCACAGCACGCCAGACATAATACTAGTTCTAAAGACTAATTTTTTCCTCAAATGGTAACAGTAAGGGTATTCGATCGATCCGTGATGGCTGGGTAAGCATTGGCATGGGGTTAATTTGAGGAAGTGAGCCTAATATAGGTAAAACGTGGAAAAACAGGAGACCGCAGTTGGTACAGAGCACAAAAATGCATCATTACAATCTAACCACTATCTCTGGGGAAAAACAGGGCGCATCGGTGGTCGAAGCACAGAAATATAAGTGAGGTACCTCTCGGACCCGATCTGGACTTCCTCGAATGATTCACAAGTCCCCAGGGCATTGACAGATAAACCATGCACTGTTGTTTGCACGCTACCGCCACACGCCATTTGGGTTCGAGAGAGGTCATCCTCTGTCACTCGTCCAGCGCAAAACATGTCACGATCCGCAAAGTACTGCGTGGCCACATCACCAATAGGCAATTTCGACAAGACTATTTTGGCCCCACTTTTGTGCAATATTTCAAGTTTTTCGTATAGAATATTCCATTCCGCATCAACAATCTTCTGGTAGTCCTAACAAGCACTGTGAAATGGTTGAAAATTAAACAAACTTCGACTGAATGAACGCGAACTTCAGCATTTTCTTTCTCTGCTTTAAGTTCCAGTTCGATATTGAGCAGAGCGATTTTCGGAGATTTGTATTTCTTTGGTTGCATCTCAAAACCTGCGTAACTGAAAGTCTTTTTGAAAGCAACGCCTTCAACCAGCAAAGAATCTTCCCACGCTCCACCAGCAACCTGAAAGAAAAAAGTGAACAAATGACAGAAACAAACGAATAGCACAAAATCGATAATGAAGAGTATAACAAGCGTTCAAATGGAATAAGTAGTTAGACAGGGTTAAATGTGAGGATACGTGCACGTTGGTGAGTACTTCTTTCTAAAAGCGTGGTGGCCGCGAGTAAGCATAAACAAAGGCATTACTAGCCTAAACGCACTAAGTTCGTTTTCAAAATATACTATCCTGAGGTCAAGCTATGGTGAATGGAAGGGACGACAACCGTAAAGGTCAATCTGGAAAGTAGCCAACAATAGCTTCGATTGGCGGAATAAAGTTAGATGAACAATAACCGGATGCGAATGGCTACATAAAAGCTGCACTTCTTTCTTTTTGGAATAGATTCCGGTTAACCGCCACACAGACGCGATTTGACTAGAGAAAACCACCGCGGTTAATAAGCAGTGCATAAAGGCAATGACTTTTGAGTCAAATAGTACGCAAATTGTAGCATGAAATCTGTCATAAATGAATTCCATGTTAAGTAAGGAGCCAAAAATGTGGGCATTACGCTCAACATGAGTGATACGCGGTGGTCACTGAGGATCGAGTCGGAAGAATCGGATGATTTTGAATTTACCTACAATGCATTGTCCGAAAGGCATCCCATAACACATTTTCATGTCTGAGAGGAGATTGGATTATCAGAGCGCCGGTATCTTTAAGTAGGTAAAAAAGGTGTTACTGTTGGAAGGTCGGCTTCGGTCTGCCACAAGACGACCAACATTCGACTCCTATCTTCGGGAGTGATTGAGACCATTGGTAAATTGCAAGTGTTTATGAGATGGACGCCAGCGTCATCAGAATGCCGTTCCACTTGACTCGACGCAATAATCACAAGGCCCTAGTTAATAGCGACGGATGATTGATTCATTATTGGTCAGTGGTGTTGAAATAGAGTTTGCAAACTGAAGAGCAAATATGCTGCGCTGAGCCACTGCAAGGAAAATGAACCTTAATGTGGTGTGGTGATTTGTGTGCCTCGATGATCCACTGAGCTATGCTGATTGGTGTTTTTTGCACCTCGTACTAAATTGTTCAATGGTTAGAGGCCAGACAAATTCAATATCCTGGCCTACCAAGTAGGGGGTTGGAGTGAGGGTGACTCTTTGCCTCATACAATGGACTGCCTGTAGTTCAGTGCCCAAATCCAGTTGCTTCGCGGTCCAATTTCGGAAGCAAAAACATTGGTCGGGGACCCTAATCGGTCTCCTGTCTAGGCCTGGGCAACCTGAGAGCATCTTGCCATACAATAAGATGAATTTCTCTCTAAACAATGTCTTGGTGCTCCGGCTGTCGCAGGGGTAATCAACGACGCACTGTCGAAACTAGAGAAGGCCAGTGGATGAAGGTAATGCATTTGAAGTCGATCCGATTAAGTCGACAAGGCCATGTTCAACCAAGCGGATGTCAGTACTTGCGTTTCTCCTTGGAGCACTCTCCTCGCTGAGACCAAAATGCCTCAAAATGCAAACTTTCTTGAAGACTGGTCAACTGGCAACACTTGACGAAGACTACAAACTCTATCAAACAATATCTAATAAACATCATAATCACCAAAAGCAGTAAATCCGCCATTTGAATTGAAGCTTGCCTACCATGCAACCACGATGACCTACGGAACGAAGAACAATAAGAGGAAGAGAAAAAGGACTTAATGATTAGAGATAAGATTCAGTGTCAAGGCGTCTGTACCTTCTCAACAACAAATCATCACAAAAAGCTAGCTATGGTGCAAAGATAAGGCACCACCGGCGACACAACTTCCAAGCGGTTTTCACTGCACCGCATCATAATCAGCCACTACCCCCAGATAACTCAACACCAAACACAATTTGAATAGACTAGGAGACGATAGCAGACACGTCAATGGTGTCGGCTGTGGACCATGTTCTGCAACGTCCCGAGACAAGCACAACGCGGATCACGTAGTCTCCAGCCTGAAAGGTGGGACGACCCGACGTATTCGAGTGTGGTTGTCATTGACTTCATTTCCCGCTGCCAAGCCAACTTTTGTCCATTTCGACCCATGCGCCACTCTATGTCTGGCAGAAAAACAAGGCCCTTCTATGTAAGCGGTGATCGTGCATATGTAGTACGTGCCTAAGCCAACGCAAGTGACGCAGCGTTATCTGTTGTTCTAAGGAACTAGCCTGGTTATCACGGTTTAGTACTCGCTTACGCACATCATCGTTGAGGACACGATGGTATCATCCGACACCAGCAACGGCTTCGCAGACAACGATGATCAAAGACCTGAAGGCGCTGCAGGTTCTCAGATTGAAGAGGTCGAGTCTTGTTCACATAGAGTAGGAGGGCTGTCACTGTGACCTTGTATACACGGCCTTTTAGACAGAGAAAAAAGCCCTTGACTCCCACAGACGTCGCAGATTCAAAAAGGCACTTCTAGTCTTTGCAATACGTGAGCTGACTTCAGTGTTTATGAGCCCATTGTTTGTGATACAGCTTCCATGGTAAGCGAATTGGTCAACTACCTCTAGTACTTCGTCATCAAGATCACAGGGTCATCAAGTGGCTGGTAGTATTGCAATAACATGTTGCTCTTGGAAGGTGCGAACCGCATACCAAATAGTAGGACCACTCTAGAGAAGGTATTCAGGGTTGATTGCGCACCCCAGCATTGTTCAACAATAAGACAATACAGTCCGCATAATCAAGAGCAATAAGCCAAGCACGAGGCAGCACCACAACCTCAAGGGAACACTACAATGGAGTTATCCTAGTTTCAAATGCTATGAATATAGCATCTAGTGAGAGGACGTAATCACCTCACAGGCTAGCTACTGTCAGTGACAGTGAAAGATAGGTGGTGCTATATACCAGGTACCTTGCAAATTATGTAACCCAGCCAACGTCCTCCGTGGCTCAGTGGCTTAAGATGCTGCCTAGTTGGCACCTGCCTCTAGCGGTCATGGGTTTGATCCCCATTAGGAAACTGAGGGAATGCGCACCAATGACGAGCCCCAATAGGGCGAAGCACGTCTGGTGCTTTTCCAGGCTAGGTTGTGCTATGTAACTTGGGAACTACTGGGTACCTTAAAATGGGGAAAATTGTACTACCCTGACGAACACCACTTGTCGTCGGAAAAGCATCCGACAAATCGCCTTAGACCCTGACGCGACATGTCGTGTACGAGTACAGAACACGTAAAATGCTCACGTATCTCGTAGGAGCAACTTTGCACACTAGTATTTCAAATAAAATGTATCGATCGACTGGGCGCACTCCTGAAATAGAGGAACACGGCTATTTTCGGCTTGCGGTATGCGTAGATCTGCTCCAGCACCAGCCGCAAAGTGAACCTATGAACTATAGATCCACGTACTGGGCGGAAACCTGCCTGATCTTATCTAATCCGGGATTTCCGTTTCTTCAGAGGTAATTCATCACAATTCGCTTTCATTCAATAGGCTTCTGTACGTCTGAAAAAGCACCAGACAGCGCTGTTTCCACATTCTGGGTCGCATCAGTAGTGCGCCTTCCTCGGACCCTTGCCGTGTACCGACCCCTTGACTTCCGGATACCAGCAGCTTGTGCCACTGTCATGGGTGACGGCCGCGAACCTGCATGATTGACAATTGACTATGATATAGTCCGGCTCATCTTCTACTGCCATGCCAGTTAGGAACTGTGCAGAGGACAGTAATCAGCTCCACGAGCATAGTGACTGTGTACGACACAGCAGTTAGAAGCCATGCGGACGGATATCAGATTACTAATAAGTAGTGGGGATTGTTGGTATAATTCGGGGGTAATTCAGCACATGCTACTCTGTTAGCAGGCGTTAGCACGTCCGGAAAAGTACCAGACAGCGCCGTTGCAACCTTCTGGGTCTCGACAGTTGTGCGCCTTCCTCGGACCCCTACCGGGGTCCGAACCCATGAATTGAGGATGCCAGCAGCTTGAGGCGACCAACAAGAGCTGCGACCAATAATTTTATCACCATAGGCGTTACGCTAATAACCCTGTGGTTAGCATGGTCAGTGCGCTTACCATTCTTGTATATATTAGGGGATCGAAGAAAGCGGCGAATAAACAGTACATTGTAAGAAAATCGATACAATCTAGTTAGTTGGTATAGCTTCTTCCGCCCAGACATGTTCGAACAGATGGATCAGTGCTTTGCAGAGGATCTCATCACCATCCTGTGCCCCATGCTGACGCGGATGTAGCATTCATGATGCTTCTTCGCCGCAGTTGGGCTAAATCAACTTACACTTAAATTAGATCTTTTTAAGCTGGATACATTTCATTCCACTTCATTGGGTTTGTTTTGTGTACTTCTCCCAATTCGCACACGTCGCTCATGCTAATTGTGGCAACCTTGCGTAACTTTATCACGTGGTAATTTTTAAATAACTTTCGGACACTTTGTACTTATCGCGGATTGGTTGCTAACCAATTTGCTTCATATGCTAATTTAGCGAGTACGTACGTAGCCATATAGGTTTACTTTATTCGATATCTTTTATTTGATATCGGCATTTCGAGTGATTGGCTGTTGGTTGCCATCCCAGGTGTGGCTGCGCTTGATGTGCATGTTGACAAGGCGCCTACCTGTCTAGTACCCACTACCTACTATACTAGCTCCAGGAGACAGTTGGTCGTTTCTGGAGGGGACGGGATGCACGGTCCTTGTGATCGTGCTAGGCTCGAAGAGCAGTTCCATACACTCAGTGGGGAGCGGACTACGGTCCAGCCGCCGCCTTGTGTGCGCTTGATACCCCAAATACAGCATGCTTGTGTCTGCCTGTGAAGGAGTGTGGGCCGGTTCCATTGATGAAACGTGGCTCTCATCCACATGCTTCGCGGTCTTATTCCTTCGGGTTTACACTGGATATGGGGTGTGTGATTGGAGCTGTGGGTGGTGCAGCGCAAGCCACCCATGGTCCGTCTGCAGGCGCAGGCATCCTGTGGTTGGCCACAGTGACAGGCAAA